CCCTGCTCCAGGGGTTCGGAGGGGAGGGATGAAAACAAAAACACTGTCAGGCGGAGAAGCCTATCAGCGCCCATTCTGGTTGGCAGCTGTAAGCAAGCAGATAGCCGGCCTGCTATCCTTTCTTCCGGCGACCCCTCCCCTGCGCCGCCGCCTTCCCCTCCCGCGGGGTCGTGGGGGTTTGGGGAGGGGGGCGCGCGCAGCCCAAGGACTCTGCTTCATTCCTGGTATCAGCTTGGCTCATTCGACCCTCTGGCTTCTCTTGCAGGTGGAAATAAAGGCTGGTGAAGGAGCCAGGCAGTGGGGACAAAGGCCGACTGTCAAGGTTCCTTGTGTATGTGTGTGAGTATGTGTTCCTGTGTGTGTGTGTGTGAGCGCGCGTGCGCGCGCGCTCGGTGGGGGCGGGGAAGGGTGAAGTGTTTGCCGGGATTGGATAAAAATAAAGGGTCTTCTCTGGTGACCCCTTAATCTCCCACTGTGTGTAATAGCAGCTGAGGGGGAGGGGTGTGGGTGTGGGCAGCCAGTGAATTCTCAGGCCTGTGTGGGGTTTTGTTTGGCTTTCTTTTGCTTTCTCAGCTGGAGGGTTTGGGTGCAGTTGGGGTTTTTGTTTGTTGAACTGTTTTTTGTTTGTTTGCTTGTTTGTTTGTTTTTAAAGACACACACACACACACCCAGCCCTTCCCCTCCCCCTGCAAATCTCTTGGGAATGTGCCTGGCCCTGTTGGTTTGCATCCAATCTGCAGAAATCCCGGTGGTGGTGGGGGGGGGCCTCGGGAGGGAATTGCGCTCCTGAGTCTGAAGCTGATAGGGTGTCATTAGTCAATGCTGCTGTCACCATGGAGATGGCTGGAGAGGAGGTGGGGGGGTGAGGAAATTTTCGGTAGGGTGGGGGCTGATGCAACCTCATGGCTGGGAACCCGGCAGGCGTCTGCTGTGAGTCCCAGTGCCTAAGTGTCTCTGGGGCCTGGGAAAGAAGTGCTCTCAGGTGTGTGGGAGGCAAAGAAACGGGGATAGTGCTTCTCTCAGGGGGAGGGTGGGCTGGGGAGGGAAGAGTCCAGTGTGTGTGTGTGGGGGGAGAGGGTCAGCCCCAGCCATGTCCTGTGGAAGGCCATTACTCAGAGCCACGGCAGTCCCTCTCAGGTGGGCCCAGGGCCCAGGATCAGTAGGTTTCCGTGGGCTTCGCTCCTGCTGTCAGGGCTGGGGACCCACAGTGAGTTTAGGATTACTCAGCACTATCTGCCCTAGGCTGGGAGAGAAAACAGGAGGCGGCAGCTCACTGCGGCTGCCTCTCAAGCCAGCGTAGAGGAGAGTTGCTGAGGAAGGGGTGTGCTTTCCGTGGTCAGTGCGGGTGGTGGGGGGTGGTGTGTGTGTGTGTCAAGTGGTGCCTTGGCCTCCTATAGGATGGAGGGCACTGCTCCTGCCCGCCCATCCCTCTGGCTCCAGACATCAGGGAGCTTCGGGAGCCTAGTTCCTCCGGCAGCAGCAGGTAGCTCCGTAGCTGCTTTGTGTGTCCCCAGATGCTCCTAGTCTTTCCTCCCTGGAAACCCTCCTACTGCTTCCTGGGAAAGCTGTGGGAAGCTGTGAGGAGGTGCTAGAAGTGGCACCCTGTTGCCTCACTGCCTGGGTGGGGGCCTAGCCTCCCCACATGCGGTGGGGGCTCCTGGGTGAGGCGGCAGGGTGGGTGAGGAGGGCAGGGTGGGTCCCTGGCCTGGGCACAAGGAACTGGAGGCCAAGGAAGCTTGTGGGGGAAGGAGAAGAGCCAGGTGGTGCCGGCTTCCCTGGGGAGCTGGGCATGTCTCAGTGACGCTGGGCATAGTGGGCGATCCCCAAACCTGGGATGAGAGAGTGGGAGGCCCCGAGGCAAGCGGAAGGTGGTTGGTACTGGTGAGGCTGTGGGTGGGGAGGAGAGAGCTCTGAGCTGCAACTGGCGCCTCTCCAGAGAGAGAGCGCCCCGCCAGCTCCACCTCCACTTCCTCCCCAGGCCTGCCTCTGCCGACAAGGGGGGGAGCCAGCCATCAGCATGCCTGCTCCTTGCAGGGCTGTCCCCCACCCGGGGTGCTGAGGATAGATAGGCTCATGGAAGGGCAGCGTCCTTCCTGTGTCCCTCAGGACCTGTCAGCCAGAGCTCCCCCTTCCCTGGGAGAAAGGGCGGGGGCAGGTTTGTTTACTCCCAAAAGCACCCCTCCTGCAGTAGCCCGGGCTCTGGTACATGGGCTTTCCCGTGGGTTCTTTCCAAGTGTGGCTTCCATTTCTCCCTGCCTGCCTATTGCTGGCCCAGGAGGGTGGGCGGCAGTCCTCTGCAGGCCTACTGAGGCGCCCAGCAGTGAATGCTCCCTGAGGGCTGTGGGCATGTGTCAGGGCAACCTGGAAAACCAGTCTTCCGCCTTCGCCCTTCTCCCAGTGGGACCCGAGCTGGCTGAGCTCTCAACGCTCCGAGGTGTGTCTGTGCTTGTTTTACGGTTGCCTGTCTGAGAGTCGTCGCTTCCTCTCTGTCTGACACGGGCGCTGCCAGCAAACACACAGGTCAGAGCCCCTTCTTTCTGTGGCCACCTTTCTTCCACATGGCATTTTCTCAGGTGGCCCACACCTGGGGAAAGGGGCAGCGTCTTTCCTCCATCAGCTTGTGGTGTGAGAGCGTCTTCTGAGGTTAAGCTAAGATGCTGGGGGCACAGGCCCATTTGGGGTGTCGTAGTCTGCATGCCCGCAGGATGGGTGGGCCTCAAGGGTACCCTGCAGCCAGTGGGACTCTGCAGGTCTGTTCTGTGCTGCACCCTGAGGGGTCCTGAGACCGTCTTTGCTGGTCTACAAGGAGCCCCCCACCCCCACTTGCCAGCAGGCAGTACCCATGGTTAATGTGCTTGGGTGCTAACTGGATAATGGGAGGTCTGAGGCCACCCAGGGGCCCTGCAGGAGCGGCCTAAGTGTCTGCTTCTTCAAAGCCAGCTGTGGAGAAAGCCCTGGGGTGGGCTTGACGGCAGCATCTCCCCTCCTTCCGGACTGTTTTCTAGAACTGAGCCGGCTGAGCACAAGCTGTTAAGGTGTCTTCCCGTGATATCCCAGGACCTGCCCTGAGCACACTGCCGCTCTGGCAGCCGGACCTGGAGTGAGTCTGAGAGCCCCCATCACCCTGCTTTGCTTTCAGGCTCCTGCGCCTGCCCACTGCC